AAACAGGACTGGGTTTTTAACTAAACCCAGGACATACAGAAAAATTATAATACCTTTATAATACAATAATACTTCTCTAAAACAGAGACCACTTCTAAGGAGTGCCTATATGAAAATAGCACCTTTCCATAAAAATCCAGTATTCACAGCAACGATTAATCCTCTGAGTGTTAGTCAAAATACAAAGTGGATCATATTGTGCAGTTGTTTCAGATTTTCATAGGAATAAATATATTAAAACAGAAATTACAATGCAAAAATAAATATTAAAAATATAATTCAGTTGAGAACATTTCCTGGTTCAATATACTTTCAGAATGGATATAACGTATCTAACTGACCATTTAAAAATTAAAAGTAAAGAAACATTTTAAGCTTAATGCATGCAACTAATCTTTACTTGGCTTTCTGCTGACTTAAGATAATATAATTCTGATTAAATTATTTTCATGCTTATGGTCCTAAACTACATCAAACTATTTGTTAAAAGAATGTTTTTCCTTTCATAAAACTCCTTAGCTGAACCTTACAATCTGGCCCAAGGACAGTCAGTTTTGAAAGAAGTGTAGTATTGGTGTGAAACACTCAATTACTGCAAGTAGAAGACAGGAGCACTCAAACTAAAGAGCTGCACAGGCAGACACTGGAAGCGTGAGCTTCCAAGTTTAGCTACAACAGAGATTTCACACTGGCCCCAGTCCACAGTATGTTTAGGTAATTAATACTCATTTCAGCCAACTGCCATTCTTTGTTTTCAACAGACATCTCTTAGTGGAATACAAAGATTTGTTTCATTCTTGCCCTTCCTTATACAACTGGCAAACGTTAATGGTTATTCCACCAAATAGCATAGTACAGAATCTCATACAAGCTACTATGTCATCTACAGTTTGTTAGTGCTAGTTTCATCTAAGGAGAAACTTAAAAAAAAAAAAGGATGCCAATAAGCTTTTAAGCTGCCAAGAGAAAAGATACAGGTATTTGACACATGGTACCCACAAGACAAAGACTATAAAGCCTGGGATGCTGGTTTCACAGTAGGCGTCAAAATTCCATTGATAAAAAATAAAAGTGAGGGTTATTCTATAGTGAAAATCTGAAATTTTGAAATCTCGTACAAAATAACCCAGTTTGACAGTACCAAAATGACTGTCTGTAAGGATTTTGCTGGATATCTCTCAATATACAACATAACATACAAGACATAACGCTACAGAAAACTATATACCTTTTAGCACCACAGAGATCATCTGAGAAGCTATGGAAGTTGTAGCAGAGATTTCATTGGAAACAACACATTTGCCAGTTAGTGATAAAGCTGAAAGTACACATGAACAATTGTTTTCCAGAATGAGAAAAAAATAAGTATGGAAAAACTCAGCTGGATTTCTAGTTGACCATAAGCCAACCAATTGCTTGATGCTGCACTGATTTCAGTATCTTAGTTCTTATTAAATGCACAAGTAAATAGACTTTTTAGAACATAGTGTATCTGGCTCGCTTGGAGAAACAGAGAGCAGAATGACTTTTCAGGAAGCAATAGATACTATATTGCAGTCTAATGCAATTATGCAAGAGCGCAATTAGTAGAAATACTGGCCTGACCTGTGCATACAACTTGCCATACTTATTACCTTGCAGGTCCTGTGTTCATTTGTCAAATTCTTGCTTCACATATACTTCATTAAAAGCTCTTGATTTAATTTTCACCTGTTTACGCTTTCAACAACTTCACTTTCACGCTGAGACTGCTCCCATGACATCAAGTGCTAAATAAAATCTTCAGCTTAGTAACAGAAGGATCTTTTCTCACTAATACCTTCAATAACTCACCTGGAATAGCAGGCCTAGTGTGACTCACTGACATTCCTGGGCCCTTAAATGAGCTGAACTCATCTCTCAGGAGAAGCAATAGGACTGCTTTTGTCTGGGCACAACAGATAGAATCATTCATCAGGAATCTTTGAACTATGCCTTACTGTTTGCAAAGCAACTGATTTGCCTCCCTTTGCTTCAGACTTTATCAGAGCAACTTGGTCAGAACTCTTAGAAATTCATACCAGAGTATCTATAATCACCTCAGACTCAGCTGCAGAATTATTTTTGGCTCGTAAAGGAGAAAGAGCTAGATTACTAGTCCCTTCATCCATGATGACTGCAACTGATTTGGCAGCTCCAACTAGACTTTCAAAACTAACCTCTCTGATAACCTCCTGAAACTATTTTATTCTAAGAAAAAACTAGCAAATTTTGGCTGCCTCTAAACTAGCAGGATCCAGCTTCCGTTGTACAAATCTCTTTGTATGGAAATCTCTTGACCTATTTACATCTCCACTTCTGACTCAGGTTTCTCTTTGGTGGTTGTGATTAAAAAGGAAATATGGTAATCATGTTGAATTAAAATAAATTAAAGCTGTGCACTTTCCCAATTAGGCCTTTTTTGGGATGTCTTTCAGCAGGAAGACAGGCCCATCCATCACTCAGAATTGCGAATGCATTTTAAAAGCTTCATTCTCTCTTATAATTTAAAATTTCATAATTAGTTATCATGGGTGTGGTTAGAGTTGCAAAACCTTGTCTCCTTACGGGTGCAGAGCTGGATCACTTGAATCTACAACAGAGTCACTAGTCACTAGTTTTGAAAGGCTGGCAAACGCCGAGTTAAAACTCCAAAACCATTATCAGCTTCTGAATAATCACCTATATGAATTGAATTTCAATTGTTAATTATGTACTCTGTTTATTTTGATGCCTGCTGAGGCTGTGTTACCTCAAGGACACCAAATGAATCTAGGTTTTATTCTTCATTTACACAAATACAATTTTAAGCATAGTAATATTACATACATTTTTAGAAGCCACAGAGAAAATTGCCTTCTATTTAAGTACACGGCGTATTTGCATTGTCACAGTGCATTACATGGATTTGGTGCTTAACATGTAACTGTACTAATCTTGGTGGCAAACATAGTAACAAAAGAAAGCTGTTTGGAGATTTTTCTATTTTTATTTTGCAAAAATAACCAAAACCTTTCCATCGAAGGACCACATGTAAAACTATGGTTTCTCTGCAGAGAGACCGAGGCTGCTTATTACCTACAGTATACTAGCTATGATGAACAGACCACCATAGTTGTGACAACTGATGTTGCTGCCTTCAGGGTAAAACAAAGGTTTACATATTACACAAGCAATTTAACTGTTTTCTAAACATATTGCCAAGACAGTGGGAGTTGGCAGCCAGCACTGTGTTTTAGGTTTCGGATACTTGGATTAGAAATGACTGCTGATTACAGACCTTTTTATTTGTCTTCGACGAATTACAAGCAACCTAGTAACCCAGCAAAGAATCCTTCACAGCACTTAAACTTGTCTTCATGGCTTCCCAAAGATTACATACACAAATCACTCCACAAAAGTGGCGTAAGAGACTTGTGCATAGATAACTACATAAGGCAACTGTCTTGTTCTAACTCTTAAAGACTTCCCCTAAGTGAAATGTTTTATAATCCTTTTTGTGCAGTAGTCAGGAAAGAAATAAAAGAGTTTGGGCACAGATTATCCACAAGAAAGAAACTTCTTTTTTTTTTTTGAGTTCCAGCTGAAACACAATAAAGAACATAATTAACTTCACAATTCTTTGTGTTTTTCATTTGACTGCAGGGAGGAGATGAAAGAGGACTGTTAAGCCTTGCATTCCATCCCAATTACAAGAAAAATGGAAAGCTGTATGTGTCTTATACCACCAACCAAGAACGGTGGGCTATTGGACCTCATGACCACATCCTTAGGGTCGTAGAATACACAGTATCCAGGTATCAGTAGAAGTCTAAAGTTCACAAGTTCTGTATTTCTCACCAGCCTTTTCATGGTAGTATTCTCCATTTCTAAACTGAATTATCAGATTTACAATGTGTATACTTGGGGACTTGAAGAAAAATTATTGCTCATTTTATTTCAAACAGTAGTTTTGGAATGCCAGTGAGTACACTGGCCTATTCTTTTTAAGACCCTTTCTGTCATTTTTTAATTATAGTTATTTCCTAGTTATTGTGTATAGGCAGCAAAATATTTTTTGGTGAATGCTGGAAAACTGAAATTCCTCAGAAATAATTGTTTGGCATTTTTCCACCAAGTTACAACATCCACATCTTAAAGTATAGTCTGAATGACTCGAGTTTATTTTTAGAAAGAAGAATAATGATAGCAAACAGCAAAACCTGTGTTCCTATCTTTACATTGCAGGAAAAATCCACACCAAGTTGATATGAGAACAGCAAGAGTGTTTTTAGAAGTAGCAGAACTACATCGGAAACACCTAGGAGGACAGCTTCTCTTTGGCCCAGATGGTTTCCTATACATTTTTCTTGGAGATGGCATGATCACTCTAGATGACATGGAGGAGATGGATGGTTTAAGGTACAAAAACTACCAGTGAATAGACTTTTATTATTGTGTTCTGGTTTTGCACAGTATTGGAGGTCAGAATCAAAAGTGATCTGTGAGTGTCAGGGCAAACCTTACTCCCTCTTCCTTTACTACATATTCTTAAAATTTTCAGTGCCTGGGTTTAGCAAACTGCTGATTTTCAGAACAGTCATGATGCTTAAATACATACTCTCGTAGCTGTGTGCTAATAAGCAATCTATTTAAATATTGGAGCCCTCATCAGGAAATAGAGTTGTATTCAAGCATAGGTTAGACTTCTTTTTTCCAAACTATTATTCTATATAAGACAACTTCATTGAGCAAACATTCTAAACATGTGTCTACAAACATATACCAGAGTCAGTAACAACACTGTATCACTTAGGAAAATGTCTAGAGAACATATGAAGCAACCCTGTTTTGGTTCTACCTATACAATCTGCTCAACATGCTTTTTCCCTCTGTTTAATTATGCTCTGTTAGAGTTGGAATATTTGCCTTATTTTAGAGAAAGTGCGGTGCTGAACCTTTACAGACCTAAAAGGAGTTGCTGCATGGGCCTCAAGTTCAGCAGAATAGCAGGTGCTCCTGCCCTCTGCCATGAGGATATGCATAAAACCAAGACCAGAGAGCAATTCTAATACTTTATTTTAAATTAAAGGGGAGACTGAAATAGGTTAATGATGAAGAAAACCAGAAAGGTATCAATGTAAATATCACCTCTTTTCATGGTTGCAAGAGGAGTTTTGATGCTCTTCTTCTACATTCTTATTCTTCTCCCTTTCTCCAGGACAGCTATGAATGTAAGGCAAAACATTTTACTGTCCTGTTTCATACAACAATAAAGCTCTGATTCTTTACAAACACGTACCAATATCTCCATTCAATCAATACAATTACTATCTTTGTGGGGTTTTTTTAATTAATGTATACTTAATCTTTGGATTGAAGTATGACTAGAAATCATTGAATTCAAGAGTAGGATTCAAAGTCATAGCAAAAAGCATTATATAACTACACAGTGATTATGTCCACAGTTACCCTAGAATAGACACAGTACAGAAGAGTTAATATCCTCATGTTTGAAGCCATAAAACAATATGGAAGTATGGAAAGTTGTTCTTATTATCAAGTTGCTTCCCAACAGCATGGTCAGGGGTGTTCTAGTATGCACATAACAAGGCAACATACTGGTCAAACCGAATCTTTGGTAGGTTCTGCTACTATTCTTTGGATATATTCTTGCATATATCATAAAACCAATCTATATGTGATTATTCGGTAAACTCGGTGTTTTATTTTGCTGGCTCACTGTAGTATTATGTAAATTAAGCCTACCAGTAAAATACTTTTTAAAAACAATTGTTTTATTATCCAACTTTCTCAGTGATTTTACAGGTTCTGTATTGCGCCTCGACGTCAATACTGACCTGTGCAATGTCCCGTATTCCATACCACGGAGCAACCCACATTTTAATAGTACAAACCAACCTCCTGAGATTTTTGCACATGGACTCCACAATCCAGGCCGGTAAGTAAGTTTCAGTTAAATTGAATTACTCTCGAGTAGATACTGTTTTCAATCAGGAATCTTACATACAGTCAGGTAACAACATTTTATAATAAAGGCACTCATGAACTTTTTAAAACCTCCACTCCTCCACGTCCACACACACCTCACACTTAGAAGCAAATGTCCATTGGCAAAGGGGAAGGAGAAGAGCATGACAACAAGTCAGGAATGAAATGACAGAAACAAAGTACAGGATTTGGGGATTTAATAAATAATAAATATATTACCTTTAGGGAAGAAAAGAACGTAAAGCAGAGAGAGAGTCAAGCACATTAGAGATGGAAATCTTGATTGAGAAAAAAAGGCACAAGGAAAACAAATGAGAACATCTGGTGACATCTAAACAATAACAAGGATGAGAACAACGCTTTAACTAAACAACACATAATTCAGCAAATTAGGTGGGTGGTAGTACTGAAGTGACATTTAAAGTCATGGTGTGAAAAAATTCAGAAAGTTGTTCAGATAAGGAGTTGGTTCTTGGACTTTTTAACAGTCCAAAATTCCTACACTATGTAAGTCAACTCATCATCATCATCATCATCATCATCATGGCTAGGCTTTGAGAATGAAGATAGGGAAGGGCTCCACCCACACTTACTACAAGCGCGCTGATGGCTAGAAAGGCCGATGTGGGATAGGCATTAACAGTCCAAAATTCCCACACTATGTAAGTCAACTCATATAGCTTAGTTAAAGCACTATTAATTTCAGGTGCTATTGAGCAGAATCCATTTTATCACTAGGAAAAAATAGTTTTACCTCACATTAGATAAAAAATCGTGCAGGGATGGAAAAGGTGTATTATCACTTGTACACAAATCTGACGCACGTCTCGGGTATTTTGGCTCAGTATGAAACAGGCCCCTCATATGAGTAGGCACCACAAAGGAACAATAGTCCTTCAGAATGCGATGCTTCATACTACTGATAGAAAATTATACATTATGAACTCATCTATCTTATGAACCTTCTTTATTTTTTTGCTTTACAGATGTGCTGTGGACCGCCACCCAACAGACATAAACATCAATTTAACTATACTTTGCTCAGATTCAAATGGAAAGAACAGATCTTCAGCAAGAATCCTACAAATAATAAAGGGTAAAGACTATGGTAAGTTCCATCCAGGGTAAAGCTAATGTGAACGGTCGGTTTCTATGCTCATGGAATAATAAATAGAAAACAGAAGAAAGTAGGTAAATGGCTGTATAGCCATGATGGGTAGTTTACAGCACAGCCAGGATACGTAACCTACAAAAGATAGAACTTATGAAAAGTACGGTACAAGCAGGTAAAAGATGTAAGACAAAACAAAATTTAAATGACTCAACTTTGTTCTTATTGGTGTAGAATATCATTTAAATAAGCTTTAGGAATATGCCAGTGGCTAGTCTGTCAAAGATGTCACTTTTGCTGCATATGATGGCTTATAAAGAAAAGATTTTTGAATATCAGGAAGTGATGAAAATATATTCTTAGCCATTCATAAAAAAACTTTTAAGATACAGAATGTAATGTGCCTCCTGTAATGGAAAAAGTGAGACAGACAACAGACCACAACCAAACCGGGAAATGACTGAGCTCTGTTTAAACTTTACTAAAAATCAAAAACTTGGAAAAATGCACTATGCTACTACTTCATAATGAATTACTAGTTCAGATTAGATTGCAAATAGATAAACGTACTCCATTAGGGACTTGAAACTAAAGTGTTTCCTATTCTCTCTCAATCAGTATGCTCATCAGTCACAATTTTAGTTTAATTTTTAACTCTGATACTCACTAAGACTGCTTGCTAGCTCAGGTCAGCCAGGCGAGAGTTACTCTGTCCTATCTCCTACCTTGGCTAACCATTTAGCAGCTTGTAAATTCATGGTGGTAAAAAGTGATAATGTCAAAGGTGTGTAAAGGCATTGAGAATTGGTATATTTCCTGGAACAGTGCATTTTTTGGTTTTCCGTACATCCCTAGTTCTCCCACCTATACTTCACTTAAAAGCAAAGCAGCTGTGCTGGCTAGTACAACAGCACACAACAGTGTAAATGCAATTGTTCTTCTTCAGTTATCGCATGTATTTTCTGTGTTCATTTTATAAAAGCCAAACCGAAGAATAATATTTGGTAAACCACTGCTCCAATGGAATTTTGACTGCATCTTTATTGCAGAGTAAACTAAGCAATATTGTGTCTATCCAGAACAGCCTGCCAATATTAATACTAGGCTGTGGGTCAATCACTTTAATATAAAGAGCTCACCATCGTTTTCTCCCACATAACTTGAAGAGTAATCTGGGAAGTTCACTTATCAAAGACCTGCAGCTAGCCCTCTGACTAAAAAAGAAAATCTTATAGAACAAAAAGGTCTATTGGCTGTGGCTTTAATTTAAAATGACGCAGTTTGCATGTCAAGTTGAGCCTACTTTTACCCTAAGCACTATTTGATTATCTGAATAGGAACATTTACACTGAAACATCCTTGAAGACATTATTTGATGTGACTAAGCTCTGCAGTTTTATTTAAAAAAAAAAAAAAGTGTAGGAACTGCAATGACAGCAGCATAAAATAAATTACAGCAAGAAGTTATGGTCAGCAATACTAGTGTTTTATGGGATATAACACACGTACCATGTTTAAAACCGTGATTTCGAAAGGGTTTCTCAAACCATTGAAAGGCTTTGAAAACCAGTTCTGTGGAAAATCACTAGAATTTCTGCTCTTAGACTCTGGAAGGACTTTACAGTGAAGGGGGTTTAATTGTGTTCGTGAAGTTTAGGAGATCTATTCTGCAGACTGTATTTCCACATAAAAGTTAATAGAGGTAACCACATCAATTTCAGTGAAGGTCCAACCTAATCTTTATATAGTTCTCCCAGACTGTGCAACCAAAGAAAGCAATTATAGCTTCTCCTGTTTAATTCCCTGATTGTTTAACGAATAGTCTTTGTTGTAATTTTCTGATTTATTAAAAGTTTAGTTTCTGGCAACACGTCTTGAATTTTGAAGAATGTTTAAATGGAATTAATCTCTGTCCTTGAAGTAATAACATTTTCATAAATGTGCATAAAAATATGAAACTGCATATGATCTAATGCTACGGTAGTTCCTTTTTAGAAAGTGAGCCTTCACTTTTAGAATTCAAACCATTCAGCAGTGGATCCTTGGTTGGTGGATTTGTCTATCGAGGCTGCCAGTCAGAAAGACTCTATGGAAGTTACGTATTTGGAGACCGCAATGGGTAGGTTTCTTACATCTCACTCTTAAACAAAAAACGTGTACAAGGCATATTTTGTTCTGGAGCTCCTTCTATAAAGGAACACCAACAGTCTTCTATGTTGTGTCACTTTGCCAGTTTTCAATGGTGTGACAATGCAGATTAAATTCTAGATTCGGAAAAGCAGTAGCACAGTATTCTTATGAATGGTAACATACGTAACATTTCTGGTCTTCCCACTTGCAGCATAGTGCTCTTAAGGTTTTAGTTCCACAAACACTGGCATAATTTACATTATGACGGGAATCAACGTTAATCATGGGACAGTTTCCCAAACAGATCTAACTGGTAAAACACCGAAAGCTTTGGGAGTTTTATGGTAACATCACTGATGGAGTAATAGCAATGTTTTCTAAATGAATGGGCATAGTTTTCCTGTCGCTATTTGTGAAAACTGAGCTATTTGGCGTGTGATACCTATAGTATAGCTTGAAGCCAATTTTGTGATGTTTTAATGACAAGCAGCAAAAAGCTGTGCTTTTTAAGCATCTGAAAAATAACAGGCAGGAAATCTTATTGTGATGAACTGCACTAATGTGTCTATGGAGCTACTTGCACCAAGTGTTTACTTATTTATCTGGATAGTGAAAACTCTCTATTCAAAATGTAATATAACAATTTGCTTTATGTGTTTCTGAATATAGAAATTTTTTAACACTGCAACAGAGTCCTGCAACCAAACAGTGGCAAGAGAAACCCCTCTGTCTTGGCAACACTGGTTCATGTAGAGGCTTCTTTTCAGGCCCTGTCTTGGGATTTGGTGAAGACGAATTAGGTAAATAGAAAAGAAATATGTTATTAAATCATAAACCTTATCAGTAATGCCTGCTGTACTATTCAAAATTATAGTAAAAGTTTAAAAAAAAATCTAAAGGCTGTCTTTCCTTTGACCAAGCTGTCTATACTGCTCTCAGCTACACCTTAGCAGCCTTGTAAAAAGAACCAAGAGAATGGGTTGTTGGAAGGGGCCACAGTCCTCACTGTCTTTCACATTCTGTGAATTGTGTGACTCACTATGGCATAATGTGTCATATATTTGCTTTTATTCCTAAATTACAGACTTAAGGGGCAAAGATATTGCATGAGCAGACCGATCCCCCTCTTCTCCCTTCCTCCCCAATTTTATTTTTAACCACTTCTGTACCAGATGAAACAAGAAACGTTCATGATAAAGTATCTTTCACATTTTAGCATCCATTTGGGGAAAGTGCTTATTTAAATCTTCAAATAGCAATGGTTCTGTTGTATATTTCAGTGCTGAGTGTTTCTTTTGAAGTTTTTTTTTAATCTCGTCTTGCAAATACAGTTAGATCACAAACGTCATATCTTTGACATCTTAAAAAAATGAGAACTAAGTTATTGTATTGGTTTCTTTAACAGGTGAGATTTACATATTATCAAGCAGTAAAAGTATGACACAGCCTCACAGTGGAAAACTCTACAAGATCATTGACCCAAAAAGGTGAGCATCACGTTTTTCACTAAGGTCAGTCTTCAACGGGTTAAAAAACAAAAGGTAAATGTAGATCTCTCCATGTAGCTGAATTATGCAACAGTCAGTAAGAAGGGAAATTCTCAAGGCCTCCTAAAAGCAAATGTACAATCAGCAGCAAGCAGAACAGATTCACTAAAAGTATCCACTGTCTTATAGAAAGCCAATGTCAGAGGTGTAACCAACACTTAACTACTGGAATTTTTTACTTTCTGACATTATGCTGAATGCTGACCAATCTCCCACCTAGATTCCCATTCTTGGCATGTTTTCATAGAACTGTAGACATATTTAATGTGATACCACATGGGCCAGTACAGGTAAAAGATGCTTCTGGTAGTTCTGAAGCTGAATGACCTGTAGGTGCCACAAAGGTGATGCAGCATCAACGGTAGGCAGGTGCTGGAATTCTCCCCAGCTCTATTTTCTTACCTTCCACTGCACTGTGTGCTAAAAATACAAAAAATTCTTTAATACTTCTTAAATCATCAGTTCAAAAAGGCTTATAAATTACACTCAAATGATTTATAAGACACAGAGTTAATATGATTAATTATTTAGATTAATTTGCCAGTTGTAAAATGAGGATAAATGAAAATTAGCAAACCATAGTTTCTTGAGATGTGATCTCTGCAGAGCAGCTAGAGCTTTGAAAATATTAGGGAATCTGGAAAGACTACAGAAAGCCAGTTCCCAGTGTGACCCAGGGGCCCCAGCAGCAATAAGAGCAAGACAACTAGCAAGTACTCACGTTAGCTGGAGAAATACCATTTTCTTCGTGACGGATCTTGCTGCACTTATCAGCCCAAGTCTGTGCAATGTAAAGGTACCACATCCATCCTGCAAAAGCATCAGAAATTAACACAAAATGAAAGTGATGACAGAAACTAAGTTCATGTTAATAATTACTTCGACTCCATCATACCCTGCAAAAGCAACTGCCTGTTTGTTCAGCACCTACTTCAGCATGTCTTCCCGTTAACATGAGTTAGGCTTGCATTTTGGGTTTTGCGGTTGTCCGTTTAAGAGAGGAATTTATTTTCTTCTCAGATTTAAATTCTAAAAGTTGTTACCGGGACAATAATAATAATAAATGCATGAAATTGGACGCACACTGTACTATACTGTATATATAAGTATATGGTATAAGTATACTATACCAAACCTATAGGAAATAATTTGGAAGCAGATGTTACTGCAGGTTAGTGCAGTCTGTCAGTCAAGATTACTATGTATGTTTTATTTATGCTTTCTGGTATTAAAAACATTTTTTTAGAACAAAACTTGCCATTCTTACTAGGATTGTTTAGTCTGTTGGTGTATGGTTTTAAGTGAATTTTACACCCTAAATCCACTATTAGTATCTAATTACATGGGGCTGCCTTGTTTGACCTCGGCTTTTTGTTCCTGTTACCTCTTCCAGTAGGGTGGTCTTCAGCTGACATACCTGAAAGGCCAGACCTCCCATTGCTGCACTCACAGTTGACTCTTTTCATGTATGGCAAAGGGTCAAGACTGTGTTTGGTTACTGGTGAAAGTAACCAGAAAACTATAAAATACTTTTGTAAATTGGCACACAGTTGACACACAGCAGACTGTGGCAAAGGGATGTAGTTTTTTGGTAATGCTTTTTAGAAATATGAGATAATGTTCATCCAGGGAAAGTTTGGAGTTTGGCTGTTTTTCAGTTTCACACCATTGCAGTCTTTTAAGTGAAAGACAACGAGATATTTCCACAAAAGACTATTGCAGCTCTATTTACCATTTCATCCTAATTTCACATTACACACGTAAACAGCTTAAAAATTCCATGGCTTTGGCAAATGCTCGTGTAAAGCTTTATTAACAAAATATTAATTGTTATTCACATGCTAATACATTTTTGCATGCTAATATGTTGTTGCTGCTATTAATGTCTTCCTCATGGCATGCACCATACATATAACAAATGCAGGTGTAAACTCTAGCACAGCAAGCTTTCTAGAACAAAGATGCTACAGGTGGGCTATGAACATTAGATATAAATAAAATCATCAAAGTATTGATTTGTCATGTCTTAGAAATCCATTACTAACAAAACCCTGTGAGAGTGGCCCCTGGCAAACTCATCAATTTGCGGAGAGCCTTGCATGCATGGGGCAGGTAAAAGAACAGAATTATCATTCCTTGAAGGAAATTAATAACCTCACACAAAACCCAATCTTCTTCTGCTAGCGGTCATTCATAAGCTGCTGCAAGCTTAGGAAATTATTATTTTATTCTAAATAATTCTAAATAATGTTACATGAAGATGCACGGCTTGATTTCTTTTGATCTTTGTAGAAAACTACTGCAAAGCAAAGTTGCTTTCAAACATAACCATGGCCCTGATTTCCTCATCCCAAATATGGCTTAAGAAAGAAACCTACCACTTGGGCACTGCTAACAGTAGAAAAAAAAATCAAAAGAAATGGGCAGGTTAAAACATTAGATGAAGATCAGGGTAATCCAAAGAAGCCTTTGCATTAGTCATTCCCAGCAATGGGAATGTCCTATCCTAAAACAATCTTTCTCATGTAATAAAAATGAGGTGCTCAACTGAGGTGACGTATGACGAATAGACAAATGTGATCTGCACAGAGGTTCTGAATCCTTCCATCATCAAGGCAACTTGAAACACACAATTTGAGGTACCACAGGAAACTTTAATTCAGTTCCTCCAAATACTTCATGTCAGTAATTAAATAGCCTCCCATCAATAGCACAGAATTAAATAATCCTTCTCTTTGTAACAAGGTTTTTATAATGATAGATTAGTACTTGAGAGCTTTTAGACAATTAAGTAATAAATCAGAAACAGAAAAGTTTAAAATGGATGTAAAAGACAAGTATATAAGGTGCTGCAAAATACATATATTACTAGCCATTGCAAAAAAGTAAAGAGTATAGGTAATAATATTAGCTTTGAGACTGCAGATGTGGGAAACCCTAAGAATTATGAACACATAAAAGCAGCATTAGGTCAAGTAGTTAAACTAGCAGACAAAAGAAGAATTTCTTGTGTTAAAACTGGGTCTCTGAAAAATATATCCATTCTTTGATTATTATGAAAAAAATGTTACCATAAGTAAACTACTTTCCAGGGTTTGGAACTAATGAGAAAATATGAGGAGAAAGACTTATTTACTTCTCAACTAGAAGATAGAGTTATTCAGATGTTCTGAAGATCAGTACAAATAGCAGTATATTTTGTGACCAAAAAAAAAGAAATTTGCATTTTCTCTTTTTCTACTTCCTGTTGTATATTTTTTTCTGTCTTGCTTTCTGTTTCTACAAATAAATACTAATATCAAGTACGAAAATACAGATGAATGCATAGGAAAAATAACTAGATAAACGGTGATACAGAAAATCTTTAGAGATCCAAATATTCCAGTTAGTCAGTAGCAGAGAAAATAGGAGACAAACTCATTAGAAAAGAAAGAGTAATCATTTTCTAGCATGATAAGAGCAGAAAAGCAGCTGTGGACAGTATTAAAAATGCATATTTAAATATGAAAGATCTGTTGATAGCTTCATATCAACTGTAATTTAAACATTATTAACAGCTGTTCTTTGAAAACCATAGACAGCAACAGACGAAGAAGTAAGAAAATAAACTTTGGCAAGTGGCAGAACAGCCATAATGTGGCTTTTTAAGTCTTCTTTTAGAATACTTATGTTCACTTTCCTCTCTAAGCAAATAATAGATAAAATGAAGGAGATTCAGAACTCAAACTGATGGACAATGCAAAAGATTTTTATTTAAAAGATGAGACTAAACCCAGAAAAGTTTATAGGGCAGTCACACAGTGCTGTGTCCTCTGTGAAGTTTTCCATGTTTGCCACTGTCAATCCGGTGATTCCAAAGGGAGGAACAATTTTTCTGACCACGATAAGCCAGCAGGTGATTTCTACAAATGAGGGCAGAGCTTAAGTAATTGTCTTTGCACACAGGGGAAGATTTCCTTTTCCTCTCCTCGTAACACCTTATACACCTGGATTTCAATATGTTTCATATCAACAGCCAGAATAGCTGCTTTCAAATAGATTGAAACTTGAACTTGATTCAAACCATCTCACTCCTCTTTCATGCCCCTCCAGAGTATGTAATTCCACTTATCATCCTTTCCATCATCACCAACTGGGATTTTCGCTATCGGAGCATATTTCCAAACAGACTGATTTCAAATACTAAGGGACAGTATCTAGGTCGACAGTATCTAGGTCATACCTCTTTTGACATTGTTTGGTCTCTTTACAAAAACATTGGTGATCTTAATTTTTTTGGTGTGAGTCAAGAGTGTTTGATGGTATGACAGAGGAGTAACATTTCTGAAAACATAGCCCTCTGCAGAATTTAATTACTATAGAAATGAAAACTCAGAAACATACGGTATTAGGCTAATCTGTATCAAGATACTCAGTTCTGCTGAGTTACAGATATACTCTGAGTCTACTACTGGAAACTCTCTGTAGAACAAGCCAATTTTATTGGTGAATGCTCTCACCCAGGTGGGCCATATGATTTCTTTCTGTTCAGAAAGTTACTATCCCTTAAGTCATTTGAGAGAATGGAAAGCCAGAATTAATGTCTAATTATGTTTAGTTTAGTCGGAGCATGCAAAATTCTTATCTCATTTACCTACCCACATGCAGTTACTATTCCCATAAGAGACACTAAAGAGAAATTAGAGCTTTTTGCAAATACCAGCCTAGAGAGTTTCACTTTACAGAAGTACTTCACAAAAACTCCTTTGTAACCATGATGGAAAAACCTAAGGATTTTTTTCAATCACATCACAGCTCACTGACTGTAAAAGTTTTTGTTTTGGTTTGGGGTTTCCCCCCTGCCTTTTTTAAAGCCTTTCTAACATTGGCTATTAAGGAGTTCTCACTTTTTATCACTTTATAAGGGAAAAACAGCTCAGTTTATCTTTTGCTTATTTTCT